GTGCACACGTACGGCTCATACTTTTCGATCATTGCGTTTCGAAGTGTGGTTCTTTTTAACATCGTGTTTCATTATCGCGAAACTCAGTTCGAACGTCGTCTACCGCCATTATAATATCACGTTTAATTCGCTTTTGAATTTTCAATTCTCCCTCGCCGTTTCCACAGTTCACGTTCCGCGCGCATTGCAAATAATGCTTTTGAATTTTCTATATTTCGCAGAGCTTCGGCTGTTTTGATAAAATTTTAAAGAAACGTCGCGCAAAGATAATACAGGAGCGATCGTATAGGATCAACATATTTCATTAAAATAATTTTCGTTGCTAGTTCGTCGATTCAGAGATGAAAAAAGGGGAATCACTCCCAGACGATGAATTTTACTTTACTCGTGAAAAAAAGAAAAATCATACTGATGTGATTCCACGGAGAGGATAAGTACCGGGGAAAGCTTTTAATATTTTATTGCTCTTGTTCCTGTCTGTTCCAAACGAAAATAATATATACACATCTTGAAACAATTTGAATTTTCTTCTGAAAGGCAGCTGGATTAATTCGTTTTATCTTTTTTTATCCGCGTGTAAACGCTTTCCCGTTTGGAAATGTCACAAGAAACGTTGTTCCATCGTTTTTCGAGCAATTTACGTCAAAAGGTTTTACTTAGCTTTTATTAATCGCAATTTATTTCCCCTCGGAAATGTTTTATATAATTTGCCGCGTAATTTCACATTTCGCCCGGGAAATTTTTTTCATCAGTTTTCTCATTTTTTTTTTTTTAACCATTACAGGGTAAGCTACGTATTGCGCGTGGAACGAACTACGTGAATAATGGAGTTTCGAAAATTTCAATTATTAACGAAGTTTAAAGAAGAAATTAACATGCTGAAAGCGCTTTTTAAATCAGATTGCCGATAGACGCGCGAAACGAACTCGTCGAGCAACTAATTATCTCCTCCGTCTTGCGAAAATAATCATTTGAATTCGTTTTGACGTTTAATTCGTGCCGAATAGTTAAATCTCGATCGGCAAACAATGATTCGAGGTAATAATTTTATCACGGATTAAATCGCAATTAAACGCGGTATTTAGCTCCTCGCTCGTAATTTATATGGAATGGGAAAAAAATGGAAACAGCAATGGAAGCAACACGTCGCGAACGATATCTAATTAATTACCCTTCTCATTATCCGCTCTTTCGTTATATTCCACTCGTATCTCCATGGTCGCTGTTTTTTTTTCTTTTTTCTTTTTTCAGTTATCACTTCACTCCATTATGCTCATTCGTCATTTGGATACGTAATTAACTCCTTTCAGCCTTCATATATCGCGATATATGATAAACACTGTTAGCCAGATTACTCTTGAACGTGTCTGTCTCTTTAGGATAATTTCGTCACGTTACTTCATACGCAAGTTATACAGTCTAACTTCTAAATTTCAATTTGAATTTCTTAAGAAAATTCTTAATTACTAAGAAAATCAAATTAATGAAGATTGAACATTCAACGAAAGATCACTGTCTGATATTCTGGACAATCATGAGATATTGTTTCTCTGCAGGAGACAAAAATCCCGCAGTATGAAACTTTTCGTGAAAAAAAAAAAAGAAAAAGAAGAAATCGTAGAAAAGATCAGACAAGTTATTATAATACTCCATATACGTTGCAACAAGACGTCGTAAAACGTAATTTCTTTGCAATTCCAAATTCCACAATTTTGGCAATTCTCCCCCCCCCTCTCACGAACCTTTCATAAAATCATAAAAAGGATCGTGTGTGGATCTCATCGGAACGAAACGCTCGATTCGCAAGTCCCTTTTTTTCATAAGTGTTTGAACGAAAATGAAATTCATCGAACGATCCATATTTTTGCTCGAAAATACCCTAACAACGACGTACACAAAATGGTCGAAGACGGGTACGCTTTGGTTTAGTTCGATCGTTTGTCCGAATCTCATTAGGGGAGCACGCTATAATTGCGTATGAGGATCGAACGACATACGCGAATATTAGGGCTCTGTCGCCGGAAAATAGTCGGATTAGTCGGGGCAAGTAGAAATATAGCACGCGCGGGATTGCCGGGCGACGATTAAGACCCGTGTACCGAACGAAACAGGGGGCAGGAGAAATCGTTTTAATTAACGAGCCGTTCAAGTGGCGATATTAGCAGTTACGCGTGAAAACAGTTGGCCGTTATTTTGGTTACGATAATGCGATCAAATCGCGAGGAAATCCTGTTTTATCGAGCGCTGTAAATTACGTTTATTCAACCCCGATATTTAAGTTCCCGTTAATGATAATCGTCAGGTGAATATTTACGATCCTTCTTATGTAAATTGCCGACAGAAATGTGTTAATTCGTTAATCGCGGCGTTGCGATCATTATTATTTATATACGTATATTACACGAGCTGTGTCGTAATTTTGCATTTTTAATCATATTTCGTCTCAAATAAGAAACTTTCACGAAAGGTAATGAATTATTTTTAATTAAGAATCCTCCGTATAAATAAGATTCCTCCGTATAACATATAATTGATCAGATCAAATAATTTTTTCATAAATGTAGCGTTCTGTCCTTCGTCAAATAAAATCAACTCAAGAGTTAATTCTTATACTTATACATATTGTCCTTCCATTTTCGTTTCACTTACATTTGCATTCGAAAAATATCGACTCTGGCATCACTGGAATCTCTCCTTTTCCAGAAACAAGCCATCAAGAGCTCGATGGACACTAAGCAAAAAAAAAAAAAAAAAAAAGAAACATTCGTGCTTCAGATCTGTCGAGACTCCATGTATCTACCGTCGTTCGTTTCCGTTTCTGGCACTTATTTTTAATACGGCCGGCTGAATTGGCCGGGCTTTAACGCGAGCGACGAACAAAATGTTAAGTCGCCCTGTTTGCGCGATTGTCCTAACAATATTCGTGGCGCGGATGCGATACGGCCGGTATTATTTGCGGAACACAATGGAGGCGTTGTGCGCGTAACGATATAAGCGTGAATTACGCCCGTCTGCCACCGGCCGATACAGTGGCTTTTCGCGCTCTAACGAATTACTTCTTTGACTTTATGGCGCTCGGAACGCGCCCGGATTAGTGGCCATTGCGTCAAGCTGACTGGCAAAGATCCTCGGACGCTGACGATTAAAAGGGCCGTGTTACTTCAGGACTTTACGACGATATTATTCGCTACGCAGCGCATTCGCTTTCACTAGTTACAAACTCTCTCTCACCGAGGAGAGAAGAAACAGCAATTTCGGATTGTTTCGTAGTTTTAGAGCATTTCCTTTGAAAAATGTCACCAATAGACTGTGTACATTCGTACGTATATTTTTAAGAAAAATGTGAAAACAATGGGAATTTGTTGTATTATTGAAGTGTCACATTAACACGTTTAGCGAAAATTTTTTTCGATTCTTTTTTTTTTTTTTTGTCTTGCTTGATTGTACTTATTGAGCGATATTTAATCATCATTATCCAATGTCGAAACTATTAATTCAACGAGAAATAATTAAAAAATAACGATATCGATCTAGCTGGAGGAATCAAGTAATAATTTATTGCGATGTTATAAATACTTCAAATTTCATAAAACTACAGAAGACACGAAAAATATAAATCGAACTCTTGGAATTTCCTTTCGTAAGGCCTAAATAAAAAATGGTAACAAATAAAATTTGATGATATAATTATCGTTGACAATGAAATGTCACGTTAGTATAATTTTTAACTAGAATAGTTCGATTCGACTAAGTTATTCTATTGTTAATTGTAACATAAATTTTATCATCAATAAGGAATGATCGTAGCTTTGTAAATTTTTCTTTAAAAGTGAATATCCGAAAAGATGGATAGACAAGAATAATTTCAAAACTTTTAACAAAGTTTTAACAAAATTTAAGTTATTAATTTAAATTTTTACATTTTCACAATTGAATTATTCAGATTTTTTTTTTTAACACGATTCTTCTTTTCTCGATTAATCTTCTTCATTAGCACAAGCATGTGCTTATTAAAGACTGACCGTTTTGCGAAATTTTGTTACAAGAGTATTATAAATAAACAGCTGGCAAACCGTTTCATGTTTCTTCGTATTATTATTATGAGATGTAAAGAAAAAATTTATAAAGAAAATCTACTTAACGTTGTACTACGAGCATCCCTTTCGGTTCACTTTAATCCACTTAATTGCTAGTCTGTAATACCTTTGGTAGAATCAAGTATATTTGCAGCCTTTTCTTTCACCTAACAATCTCAATCGCGACTTGTGTTTCAATAATAATGGAAATAATCTTTATAATTTTATGATAGATGCAGGGAAAACGTTTAAAATGCTTCAAAGCAAAATGTTGTGATTGTAAATTGAATTTCTCGTATAGAGACCAAAACATTCTCGTAAAAGCATTAGCTTAGATGTTAAAGCATAAAAGAACAAGGAGAATCAGTTTAATTAAAAAAGATTGCTTCTGTTAATTTGAAATATTATTTCTAGGAAAATTTCCCTGGCGTTAATTACATGGCGTCAAATTTCAGATTTTTAAGTAATAAGTCATATCTCAGGCAGTACAACTTACATACATTTTAACGTTAAATTTGGCAAATCATGAATTTGTCGAGTATATTCGAAGAGTCGGTCGCATTTCTTTCATCTTTATAGAATTACACACGACAAACAGAATTACGTGCGATAATTCTGATGTATCACTGCAACGAATAAAATCAAGCTTTATTTCGTCGGGAAAGTTCTGTGATAACACGAACGTGGTCTTTGTGCAATTAGGTATTATTCGGCGTTCGCCGGAAATGTTTTCAAATTGAAAACAACGAAGCTGGTTTTTACATTCGGATTTCACATACGTCAGCTGTACAATGGACAGTTGCGATTTTTTTTTTTTTTCAAATTCATATCCCGTTACATTTTTCCCCGCAGTAACAATTTACGTTTAATTAAACGCGGCTCCTGTTGCACGAGGGATTAAAATCAGACGTTTGTTTTTCGCAGGATGCAATCGCACAGTCAGGAACTCTGTTGGATGGGTACGATGGACAGGTCGCATGGGACGATGCATTATTCGCATCAGAGCACCTCCTAGAGACCCTCAGGTCGATCAAAATTGTCTTACTAATAATTGAGAATTAAATTATTTTAATCAAGTAGCTAAGTCGCGAATTAAATATCACAAATCATCTCAACAGGCATTTTTCAACGCAAAAGTTTACTTGTTACTTGCATTTGTCATATTTTCTATTTGTAAATTAAATCTATTTTCTTGATCGATCTTAATTCGATCTTAAAATTTAATATAATCTAATTAAACTATATTAAATATTAATTTTATATTATATATTATTAATATATTATTAATATTATGTTATATATTATTAATATTATAATAATTAAAAATTAATATATTATATTAAATTAGATCTAATTGAATCAGAAATCGAGAGGAGAAGAAATGAAGTACAGAAGAGATCTAATTAAATTAGATTATATTAAATTTTGTAAAGTTTATTGTAAATTAAATCTATTTCCTTGATCGATCTTAATTCGATCTTAAAATTTAATATAATCTAATTAAACTATATTAAATATTAATATTATATTATATATTATTAATATTATGTTGTATATTATTAATATTATAATAATTATATTAAAAATTAATATATTATATTAAATTAGATCTAATTGAATCAGAAATCGAGAGGAAAAGAAATGAAGTATAGAAGAGATCTAATTAAATTAGATTATATTAAATTTTGTAAAGTTTATTGTAAATTAAATCTATTTTCTTGATCGATCTTAATTCGATCTCAAAATTTAATATAATCTAATTAAACTATATTAAATATTAATTTTATATTATATATAATTAATATTATATTAATTATATTAAAAATTGATATTATATTGAATTAGATCTAATTGAATCAGAAATCGAGAGCAGAAGAAACGAAGCAGAGTATAGAAGAAATCTAAATAAATTAGATTATATTAAAGTCTGTAAAATTTATTGTGAATTAAATCTATGTTCTTGATCGATCTTATTTCGATCTTAAAACTTAATATAATCCAATTAATTTACTTCGTAAATTACCAGATCTTTTGCCAATTAATTAAAATCCATATGAAACACATTCGATGTATATAATAATTTTCGCGCCGAGCCTCCGTTCGCCAGTAATAAATATTTCGAAGATGCTGCGAAAACAACGTGGTGAAACAATTTGGTCCAATACAGGTGATCGAGTTAAAAGTTAGGAGGCTGCAAGTTGGCTTCCTGAAAGAAACCAGATGCGAGGGTGCTTATATTCAATTTTCTGATGGCGGCGACGATCTCGAGGATGAAACAGGACGTTACTGCGGCTATGTGAGTGGCAACACAACCAGGTACGATACACAAAATCGATATCACAACTGTATCCAATCTTCTCTTCACAAATGTATTTACGTTTTCAATTCGATCATCACATTATACCAGAAAACCCGATTATGCCAATACTTTTAGCTCGTCGCTCTACGTCATACAGATCGTTATGGAATCGTTGTGCGACGAGTGTCTCTCGTATCGTCAATCAGTCGTTGCTATATTCTACTACAATTACACGGGCAGATTTACGTAATTGCTTCGTCGATACACTTTGCATACACGATTTTACATCATTTCCTGTTCTATCGTACTCGTTGTGTCTGAATAATAAACGATGTCGAAGAAATCTGCATTTACAAAGACACAGAACTTAGCAATCACCGAAATAGCTCGTTATCGAAACGTTTGCACGATAAAGTGCGCGCGTGCTAAATATGTACACGTAGATAAGAGGGCGGAGTGATTGGTGGGATCGTTAATGAAAAATAATTAAACGGCCGGGATAGTATTCACAGCAAGTGGTAAATCAAACGTGTGTACCGCTGGTAGATAATGGATTAAACAGATGCCCGTTGGCCGAAATGTAGCGGTTCCAAGCCGCTTATAAACGCAGAATTTAATGCGTGCAAATATTTCCCCGAGTCGGTGTGCCTGATGATTTCGGCTTCGCTTTAATTTCAATTTTCTCGTTTTCGGGTCTCTTTTGTAATCCTTATTAATACGTTTCTGCGTTACAATTCATTTCGACGCGGTTACTTAATCATTTTCGTGTTTATCGAATATGTTTGACAGCTAATTTCCCGTAGCAATAACAGCGCGTCATTATATTTTACCGCAATATTCAATTACACTGATTGAGTTGCTTTTTTCTTTTCGTTTAATTTAATCAAGAGAATTTAATCGATTAACCCCTCTCGAGGAAAATGATCGTTTCGTTTATGTGCGTTTATCGCAATATATCTTACATACTCTTTTTTTTTTTATTTCTTGCTCATTAACATTGCAATTTAATATTGAATGAATCTTTTGTGCATTATTGATCTCTCGTGGAAAGCAGCAGTTAACGAAAGTGTTAAATGAACAATTGAATTCATTTTTTCCATTTTTTTTTTCTTTTTATTACTAATTGGCTATTTGAGAAGAATTATTCTTCAATTGTTAATTGTATACTGAAGAATTTAATGCCCATTTTTCAAGTTCATAAAGTCTTCAACAACTTTGTAAATGATTTCTAGCTCGAACCATACGTAAAAGTCTCGAACCTCGACATTTCATCTAAAGAAACACTACAAATTCTTCACAGACAATGTGAAATCGTTGCGTCGCAAAAGTCTATTGCAGCTAGACATTTTATATTTAAAATATCGAAACATTTCAACCACCAAAGCACCTTCGTGAAAACCGTCTGCCAGCAGGTGTTGTCTCGTTAAATCGCAAGATTCTATTTCAACCAGGCTGTTACCGGTTCGACTATACCCCTTTAATTATCCCGCAGGCTGTTCCTGAGGAAGGGTCCGAACTTAACGATCATAATGGACTCGGACGTGAAGTTCGCCGCCGAAAATCCGGTGATCTTCTCCGCCCAGTTTTCCATACTGCCGGCCCAGCTAGCCGCCGAACGTCATCGCGGTTTCTCCCCGTCCTCGTCGACCGAGTGTCCCTTGGAGTGCGCCGTGAGGAACGACCGAAGGTCCTGCAAGCTCGCCTCGCCGGGTTATCCGGGCGTGTACCCGCGCGGCATCCGATGTCGGATCGCGTTGGAGTCGAGCGCCGGCCGCTTTAAAATCGGCGGCCAGCCGGACGACCTGTTCGATCTGATGAACCGTACGTCGCAGGATGGCTGCCAGACGGAGAACTGCGAACAGCACGTGGAGATCGTCGCGGAAGCGGCGAGAACGAGGATTGCCAGATCGATGGACGAGCAACGTGGACATTCGACGGAAGTGACGGCGGCGGTGAGACGGGCCAGGAGGAGCCCGGATCACGAGGAGGAGGTAGAATTTATCATCGGGCAAACGTCGCACAAGGCCAGGAGGGGCAGGAATAATCGGAGGAGGTTGAAGAAAGCCAAGAAGGAAGCGGACGGGTCAAAGGGCGGGCGTGGCAATTCTCGTGGAAAAGCGGGGAACGAGGATATACGGAGAAATGTCGGCCGTCCGAAAGAGATCAGCGAACAGTCGTCGGCAGACACGTTCCACGGCACGAGAAGCAGCGGCAGCAGCTCCAGGCAATCCGGCGGCTATCGTGATCAGACGATCCGGCCGGAATCTATCCAGAAGAGACTTCGTCACCCGCAGCGCGTCCATAAGAAGTCCATGGACTCTTCGATAAGCCCGAAGAGGAATTCCGATCATGATCTGAGAGATATATCGGACGCGAGGATGGTCCTGCCGGACGGTCTCGGACACGAAATCGCGAGGAAAGGCTTGAGCCAGGAGAAGATCACCGCGTTACAGGTGAGTTATCGCCGTAAATTTATTTCAGCCGACACTTTCCACGTCGCGTCTTGATCGGGTTGATGAACCTTTTGATCGATTGCCACGTCGTATCGTTTGGCGACGATGGCGCAGGAGAAGAAATCACGCGCGCATACTAATTGGCAGATTAAGATGCACAGATCGACCGATCGATCGGACAGGATGTTTTTTCGTCCTGCTGCTTTACGATACACGCTAGCGGTTAGTTGATTTTGGTTGAACTTGTAAGGTTTACGGTTTATCGTTCAGCTAGTAGATAATTGGACTTATAAAGTGCTTCGGTTAGCGAACTTATAAGGCGTTTCCTCTAGAATAACTAATCCTGAATTTCAATAAATCGTTTGATTCGTAAAGTATATATTTAAGAAATTAATAACGCTTCTTTCAACGAGTCAGATAATAAATGTTACGACGTACCAAAATACATCTTCGTTCCCCGACCTTTTTATTCACTGATAGCCAACGACGAACGACAAATATCTCTCAGAAAGCGATGAACACTTATCGACCGCCGCGTAGATAGACGTTGCAATTGCAGAAATTATTTTAGCGCGAAACTGCTGCGCTTTAATTTCGCCACGGAGGATACGACAGTAACTACCAAACTCTCGCTAAACAGTTGCCGCGAAGTTTGCCTCTCCCAGGGCAAGTTGATTAAACGTTTCGCTTCGTGTCTAGCACGAGCGATAGATACGAACGCGCGCACCAAAACGATCTGACTTGCGTAACTTACGAAACAAAACGGAATAATCGAGATCAGTGATTGAAACCAATGTTATTGAAAACCAAGTTATCTCTATTTTGTCCGAAATAAGGTCCCCGACTACAGATATGCAAAGAAGGGTCGAGCGCCGGAAAAATTGGGGAGCACCAGTTGCGTCGGTGATTATCTCACGTTGCTGGAGGACGTGGACGGAAAGATCTTCGAGATCTCCAAGTTCTGCGGAGAGGGTCACGTGCCACGGATCCTTTCGAGAGGGAAAAATATTATCGTCGAGTTCTTTACGGAGCAGGACGGCACGGTGATGCACGACGGGTTCCAGTTGTCGTTTCAGGAAACGGAGGAGCCGTCCGGCGTGAGGCACGATCGAAATTGCGAGTTCGTTTACAAAAGCACGGAGCGCACCAGGGAAAATATCAGGTCGTTGCAAAGCTGGTATCCGCCGAACACTTTGTGCAGTTACAAATTCATGGGCAGATCGTCCGAGAAGATCTCCGTTCATATGAAGATAATCAGAAACGAGCCGGACCAGGAGTACACGCCACAGAAACGGAACTTCAGTCTGAACTACTGCCTCGGAAACGAGATTGCGGTTTACAATGGAATCGAGGTGGGCAACCACCGTAAGAAATTAACAGCTTGCGTGGCAAACCTAATAGCTTTCCGTTGTTTTATTTCGTTGCTTGAAATATTCTTCCTAAGTGACTTTCGTTCTTGGAAGGAGCAGTCAATTTTAATTTTAATTTATCGATTATTGCACGAAAGTTTTCGTTCATTTTCAGTCGAAATATCATATTTATTATATCCTTGAAGTTATTAACATCAACCACATAATATATTCTGTTACTTTTCTTCGAAATATTTTATCAAATTTCCTTTGAAGTTTTTTGTTGCATGTCTGTATTTTGAAATAACGTGAGAATATTCTCCTTGCCCAGATATTACTCTCTTTCATTCCACAGAGAAGTTTCTCTACCCTGCGATTCCTGTTATGCTAATTACAAATCGCATTTCTCCTCGTCGTAGTAAAACAAAGGCGATTTTAATATTTAATTTTCAGGTGAACAACAGCGTCTTGATGTGGTCCTACTGCGACGTATCCCACCAGGACATTAATAACATACAAGTTCCTCTCACCTCCAGCGGAAATGAATTATTAATACAATATTACAGCGCGAAAGGCTCGTACGACGGTCAAGAATTCACTTACACGATATCCTACAGGTTCATAAAGAAATCGCAGAACTCCACCATCAGACGTCAGGTCCAGGATGATTTCAAGCTAATCTCTCTCAGACCGGTGAACTTCTCAGCGTTGAATTTCAACGAGAGCGAGAACTGCAACTGCGATTTTGGCGATAGGATAGGCAGCTTCAAAAACTGGTTTATGGTACTAGTTGTCCTAGGAATAGTCTCGTTTCTCGGCGCTGTTCTCACGATAATAGCGCTCCTTGCCAAATGCATCAAGATGCGATCGATGGAGAAGAAACTGCTACAGACACCGAAACTATGAACTCGATTAAACTTTGTACGATTTTCTACCTGTTTGAATAAAACGATTCTTTTTACAAGCGACTAGATTCAGGTTTGCACATATGCTCATCCAAATTTCGATGTCCGTTAAATTTATTTATGATTACCGATTAATGAGAGTCAAAAGATTTTTATTCTTCGATCATAATTAAATTTAAAATCGAAGAATCGCGGAGCGGATATTGCGTTCGTTGATATTTTATTTTTCAATTTGTACTTTCATCGTTAAGAGAAATTACGCTCCAAGAGTGTGATCTTATATTTCACGTTCCATAAATATTTATTAAATCTAATTGCGTAATTGAGAATAAATTGCACGTCGTCAAAACAAATGACGTCGTCTATTCAAATCAAAAAAGGATCGTGCGAAAGATCACAAAGGTCTCACCGAGATTTGAACTCGGATCGCTGGATTCAGAGTCCAGAGTGCTAGCCGTTACACCATGAGACCTTGAGAATTTTTTCACAAAAATCAGAATTGTGTGCGTGTGTCGGTAAATGCATACATCACGCACTTTTATAGAATTTCAAGTGAATGAAACATCAAAAAGAATTACTATGTTTGATGGAACGATCCATCAGATTGCGAATATGTAAATACGAGAAATCATCCATTAGTACATATCTAGTTAAAAAATCAAATCATCGATGGTGAAAACGAGAGAAAGAGGGGGAGAGTGCGATGCAAAAAACGTAAAACGTATATACACGATAAAAATTAACGTAATGTACTACTTGTTAGAAAATATAAGGAAATATCATTGCTTGAGGAGACAGCTTTAAGAAATTTTTCTTTTTTCACTAGTAATTATGAACAATTACACATTCGTTACAAAGTCTGATATATATCTTAAGTGTTATTTTGCAAACGAGAATAAACGTCGCTTTTGTACAATACGATAATCAAACGGAACGTGTAAATTTGCAAGTCCATGTAACATAATGCATTCTTCGTTGAATGAAACGATGTATTATAATCACTTCCTGCCACTTCCCCCACGATCAAACGCCACTGCATTTAAATCGAAAAAGTAAGGAGGTTTCTTCGTGCATAAATGATTATTTGGTGCTCGATTCAAATCTTGAGTCAATTCAGAACCACTGAGAACGTATACGTAAATTGCCGTAACAATTGCAAACATGAAGAAATTAGCGTCAATTGTACATAATAATTTATCATAATGAAATTAGAGAGCGGTTGCATTCTTGCGTTGCAATGATAATTGAAGTTGAAAAAGAATATTACTGCGTGATCAAATATAGTTATGAGAGCAAAAATATCTAAAGAAAATAAAAATTAACAAAATACAGATAATACATACTTTTGGCAATGATATCAAAAAATACCTTTCAAACGGTATAATGAGAACTATGAAAATTGAAATCAAAATGTTAAATCATAATTATAAATATGTTTCAAGCGCGATGGAGCAATTGAGCGAAAACAGTATGTATATGCAAACGAAACGCTTATTATAATAGCGTAATCTCTTTCAAGATAAATTATCATCTCGTTGCATCTCATGATGAAAATTGTGATCCAACTACAGAGAAAGAATGAGCAATGAGATGATTCAAATAAGTATCTCTTAAGTTATATACACTTATATATTCGACAGAACGAATTATATAATCACTAGAACGTGAAAGTCAAATTTTTTTCTAATTTTTTGAACACTTTTATTAACGAAACGTTGTAACTTTTTTCATTAAACCGCAATCTAAATTAATTTGTGAGGCATTTCAGTGGATGCGTAACGCGAAACACACTGAGAGCATTCGCACTGACAGTAATTGGATGTTGTGCAAGCAGTGATTTACCGGAAACACATTGCACACGGTGGTCAAGGTATGAATCAGCACTTCTTCATGTACTCTACCCGTATTTCACAAAGCAACAAGCAAATTACTGAACAAGGGAACGTACAGCGACACAGCTGCGGTGCCAAACAATAATTTGTTAAAATGTTCCTACTCGTTTCGTATACGGTGTCGCGAAAGTGTTGATGAACATAAGTCTCTAAAGTATTAATATTTATTATCCTCGCATATTTGCGTACATATGTCCGTCGAATGTCGAATTGATCTACATTTATAACGCGCGATGGAACGTATTTTTGTAGGAAAAAAAGAAAAGAAGAAGAAAAAAAAAAAAAAGGTAACAATAAGAAAAGCAACTTGTAAATGTGATAAACATTTAATCGAATTGTACGCCCACTAACAATAAGCGATCTACAACATATGATAACGTTAAAATGCTCGAAAGATGTGTAACTGTGTTTTAAGTGAAATAAAAACACTTCATAATAAAAATAAAAATATTGCTAATTGTACGTGTTTTACCTAATTTTTTTCATTCTGGCATAACGTAAAATTTTTCATTTGTTCTGTATAATTTTTATCATTATTTTATTAGGTGAATAACTGACTTGAAGAAATAAATTTTATTTTAATTACAAGAATTTCATGATAAATAATATGAGAGATTTGTAACTTTGTTGATTACTTTATTCATCATTTACATTCGAATAAATCATATTCATGATTTATTCATTATTTCATGATTAATATGTTAATCTTTGTATTATGACAAATAATTTGCAATATATATATATATATTAAAATTTTTTCCTATTTTAATAGTTCCTCCATTTTATCGATAGATGTCGCACGTATGACATGCACATTCCTTTCTATGCAATTGTTTGTCTATGTTATCGATTCGCATGCACGTAAAGTTAGTAGTGAGACTGCAAATTCGTTAAGAGTGTCGTTTGTAAATTTATATACAGAAATTTCGAACGAAATGTCGAGAATAGGAGCCATTAAACAATCTATGGAGAAAGCGTTACACGATGAAAACAAATTGTGGGCGAAATATCTGGGCGAAGTTGAGAAGAAGACCGGTGTCGATCGACTCTACGTTTTTTTAAGTATGAACGTTAGAATTACATATATACTTTGTGAATTTTTTTAAGACGCTATTGTCTTGCTGAATTATTCAGTTAATTAGCGCTTTACGTAACGAGAACTTGATGTAAATTTTTATTTGCCAATGTAGTGAAATGTTAAACGTGCACGCATATTTTATTATATCGCAACGTAGTCGCATTAATGATTTTTAACGACGCGGTTATTTTATAAGTTAAAATTCTGCGAAGGCATTCGATGACAATTGAGTATTCATAGACGTAATGAACGTGGAGAATATTTTAATTCTTTTTTGCATTTATGTAATATACCAAGAGTTGCTGTATTATCTCTACAAACTTGTTGCTTGCAGTAATTAATTTCACTGAATTTTTCTATAATTTTTCTCTAAATTTTTCAGGTGTTATTGGATTTTCAGCATTATACTTGGTATTTGGTATTGGTCAGCAGTTAGTTTGTAATGTCTTTGGATTTTTGTATCCTGCATACTGTTCTATGAAAGCCTTGGAAAGTCCAAAGAAAGAGGATGATACAAAGTGGTTGACCTATTGGGTTGTTTTCGCAGTTTTTACAATTGTTGAATTTTTCTCAGATTACATTTTATGCTGGTTTCCTGTCTATTGGCTTTTTAAGGTAGTTTATCATAATTATAATTATTGTATATATGAAATGCAAGTCATATATTGTATATATAAACGTAAGTTTATTATGTTGTTTTTGCAGTGTCTCTTTTATATATGGCTAATGGCACCTATTGAACGTAATGGCTCCCTAGTATTGTATCACTGTCTTATTAGACCAAACTTTTTAAGATATCATCACAAAGTTGATGAGTTAATATCTTCTGCTCAAGATGCCGGTATATTCATTATAATCAAATATAACACATATAATTAATGTCTATCATATTTCATTTAAAATGTTTTTTATTTCAGCAGTTAAAGCAGCAGCAAATGCTTTATTGACGGAAAAACAAGAATAATCACAATTTTGAATCCCTGGAGGTCAAATTGTGAAAAACATGCCTTAAAAATTTTTACTGTTTTTCCTCCTCGTCCATTCTTAATAAAAAAAGAACTAAAGTATATTTGACAGTCTTAATTTCTTATATATAATGTTTATAGCATTGTGAATTTTATAATCAATTGTGCCTATTATTTAGATGTTGCTCTAAATATTTGTAAAATTCAATTACATGTATTATTATTCTTGTTATAAATTTCTGTACTTTATAAAGGATACAGTACATTAAGAAATAAAATTTTACATATAATAAATATTGTTTTATATGTACAAATATATATATATAAAATACAATTATTCAAGATTCTGTTTCCTCATGTACTATGTCCCTTATAAAATACAGAAATTTATAACAAGTATAATGACATGTAAATTGATAGCACTAGTAGTCCCACGGTATCATTTGTGATTAGATAATTTGTTAACACTTATAAGAACCATCCAAGTAATCTATAAAAATATTTTTTTATATCATATACGATATTACAATTATAATGGAGGTGGATATTTTTAATATTAAAAATAAATGCATAATGATTTGTAAAATCGCTAAAAAAAAAACAGCTTCTACAGAAAGTAGGTTACATAAATAGTGTGATTTATAATTTTATAAACGAAGGTTGGATTAGATGATATATATAGATATTGATAAATGATAAGTACTTGACTGAAGATATATACGTGTGATGTATGAATATCAGAAATTGATGAATTCCAGTTAAGCGTAAAATGTTTAAAGCGATAAATTAAATATTAATTTTGCACAAATAAGCTTTTATATAAGTTTTAAGAATATTTGTAGCAATGAAATTCCGCTTGAATGTGGGAATATTTCATATTTGACATATATTTAAGCAGTGAGGAATACATTTTGCGGCTAACCAGTTATATACATTATATAATTATTCCTGGATGTACTAATGGAGATGTTGGATTCCTTAATCCTTTTAATTTGTCCTTGGAAGAGAGGCTCGAAGACAAGTTTCATCGCTGCTCCTTCATCTGATTATTGTCACGTCCAGGAGGGTGCAAAGTCCTGAATCAATGAATGCTGGTCCCATTCCTAGTTGTACCAGTGAAGATGATCAACTTCCAAAAAACTCTCTTCTAATCCATCCTCGGGAGAGAGGTTTGAAAATGTAATCCGCCAATAATTGCGGTTATATCTTGAGTACTAGGCAATCCGTGGATTTCCTCTGGATTGCAATCTTGATGTGATCATCTCCACTAAATTATACTCCTTTCCGTATTTTGTTTCTATTGCATCGATATTCCGGCTTGAATGGACTTGTGGCCGTACAATGTACATTTGAACATAGTTTATTATTAGAGAGGATAATTTTATTTGTAGCAATAGAGGATACAAAGTTTTATCAATATTCTCCCTCCCTTTTCTATGTAATGAGAAGACTAAACAAAGAAGCTTATCTGTCTGCGAGCCTGTTTTATACAAATTCGCTAGCCGATACTAGCTAATCATTCTTGAATACGAATGTGTCTATACGATGAAGCGGACGTTGATCAGAGGATTGACGCCAACTATTACTTGGAGACAATCAAAATAGTCTCGTAGGTCAGCGATCAAGAATCAAAATATTCGATGGTTTAAAAATAATAGCTTTGTTAGAACGCGGTGAACGGCTAGGATTTCTTGTCAGCATGAAAAGACGAGCAAATGGTTTTATTCAACAGTAAAATATTTAAAAATGGAGGGCAACAAATTCTTTTACGCTAACAAGAAATCCTGAATCGTTTTTTAATTAAATTATGAAATTTACAAATTGAAGCACAAACAATATTTAAGTATAGGGATTTCTATATTGGTTGATGAAATCTTAGATATGTATGTTTCAGTTGATTTCAATAAAGATATTGTGTTTTATTTCATATTCTTCTAATAAGCATTTGGTTTTCGTACAGTATTCGGAACGTCGATATGTTACAAACGATAATCTGTTTCTTCCAACGTACTTCTGCAATTGAATAATAATAGATAAAATTAACGATAAGCAGTTGAAACAAGGAAAATACGTACATTTCTTTAAAGTGTAATTTTTCTGCTGTGAGCGCAAGCTTTCTAATATTTCTAATAGTGCATGCTGCTGCAATTTGCACCTCGGGGTCATCTGATCCCACCAAACGTAGTGCATGCTGGAAATTTTTAAAACAAATATATATTAATGAACAATTGCAGAGTATTTGGAAATTGTCAAATGAATAACTTTAAATCGTCTAAAATAAAAATTATATACACGTTCGTTGAAGAATTTCAATGAATACTGTATTATCATCAAAATAACATAGTGTAATCTGAAACGATTTTTTAAACGAAAACATATTGCTGTACCTTTATAACACCGGCAGTATGCATTGTAATGCAGTTCATAGGTTCTTTACTTAAGTGATACGCAGCTATGCAAACTCCTCTAAGAACAGCTTTGTTTTCACTAGTCATGTAATTAATTAATGGTGCCACCGCGTTCAATTGACCAAATTTATTGCTATTCTCTCCCCATTCGCAGCAGTGAGCTATCGCTAATGTCAAATTTGCACGCAAACCTTCATCTTCCTAAAAAAAAGAAAGCAAAATGTAACTCATAATGGCGTAGAATTAACTCGAAAATATTGTAAAAATTGAAAGACTGCTCTTTCGAAAGAAGAATCGTTCGAAAATATTTCGGAGATCCTTCAAGAAGAAAGAGAGAAAAAGATTCCAAAAAAAAAAAATCACCGTGTTCACAAGATTCGCCAGTTTCTCCACCACACCAAGATCGCTGAGAATACCCAAGTTTTCTGGATCCGTGGCGATTTCAGCAATAGTAGCGCATACTGCGCTCAGTACTTCGGTGTTGGTATTTTCAAGAAGACTAACTGTGAGCTCCAATCCACCTACGAACGATCGTACCATTTCCGGGGAATCTTTGGCGTGTTTGATACAAGGCACCAACGCGAGGCACGAGTTTCTTTTGATCACGTCGCTGGGATGTTTCAGCAACGACCAGACTAATCGAACACCATCGTTAGTGTGCTCTGGGTCGTTAATGATGTCCATGCATTGTTCATTCTTCGCGCATTCCTTTATCACCAGTGGTATGTTCTCCAATAAGGGCTCGTACGTGGAACTCAATAATTTAATCTATACAGATTAAATGATTGAGATGTTAATTAATATTTGTGTTGTCACATAATCAAGATAGGATAAATAATAATATTTCTTGCCGTAGATAAAGAAGAACGCATAATCTCTATTTGAATTTAATATATCAGATGAAATCATTCGTCAGAGTAAGTAAAATAAAATAAGTATGTAATTTACCAGATTTGGTAGACCATCGTTGACTCTAAGGACTTCTCTGTTAGCAGAATCTTTGCAACATTCCGCCAGTGCTCCAACAACATTCGCCTGCACCTCGTCATCCTCGTGTTCCTCTAAAAATGGCACTAAGGAAGCCACCAGGCTATTTTGATTGAATCTTACCACGTTCTCTGGGCTTATGGCACATTTCCATATTCCGCCTGTAACGGCGGCTAATAATTTCTTATTAGCACGGACTTCTTTGCATTGTAAAAGGTTGCATAATATATCTAGACCATGTGTCTGCCGAACCATGTCTCTAGCAACTTTGTTCGGTCCACATTTGAATATCGCCAAGGCGCAGTTTTCTTTCAACTTGACATTATCGCTTTGCAAGTGTCGTACTACGTCAGAAATGATATTCGTAGTCTCGAACGCTTTACGAAATCTGTCCTGCAATTGCGGAGAGAATTACACAGTCTATGTGTGTAACTTGGTAAATATTTCATGAGCTTTTGTCATTTTCATCACGAGTGTATGATTGTTTTTTTTTTTGGTGGTCAGAAAAGTGTAATATTAAGTTCAGTCTTGATAATAGATAATATTCAATATCGATAAGTAGCATAGGTAGAATAATTCTACATACTCTATACAATTATTGAAGTTATCTTTAATTATTAATTGACAGTTTCGAATTTTTAAACAGTTGTTTCAACAACATTGAAATTTCGTTTACCTCACTTGCACATTGCTGTACAGTTCCCACCATCGGTATTACAAGAGAAGTGTGATGTGATTTCAGAAAACGTTCCATATGTTTTACCACACCAAACTTGTGAAGCGTGACTCTGACCTTCGGGCTACTGCTCAGAGAATCTAAAACTTTGGCACAGCCTATTGCAACTGCCACCAATTCCTTGTTAGTTTCGTTCAGCTCGTTGTACATTGTTCGAAGAATAGAATCTGGTACGTCCATTATATCTAACTATTAAACGTTACAAATTTCTTACGACACGAAACTAAGAATTTTGAACAATCGCTTTTTAAAAAAACGAATTCGAACACGAATTGAGGAAACTTACAATGAGAGGTATACCGCCTCGAACTCGTATTTGTTTTCTCGCTTTTCTAATTCGTGCTATAACAGCCATAGTTTCTGCAGCTAAAACCTTCGTATAAATGGAATTCTTAGCTTTATATTTAACGGTCTTTTGAAAATCATATTTATATTAACAAATGACTAACTTGAATATCTCTGGCTGGATACTTTAACATTTCAATCAACGGTGTTACAATACCAAGATCGATTAGGTACCGTCTCATTTCTGTGGATGTCACGATCGGAAGTAAAACCGACAACGAGCCACTCTGACATTTTAAATCTTTCGTTTCCAATAGGTTCACCAGAATCTCCAGACCCCCCATTTCTCGAATCGCCTTTTGTATAATCTGTTATTGCAAAAAATGGAAATTGTATTTTACTCTTCATGTATTTTATTAACTTTCATTACGGGTATATATAATTGGAAAGTTAACATTGTTTTAATTAAGAAAACTCTGCGTGAAAATATTCTCTCTCAGTTATTTTAATTTGGATTATTTAATAAGAATTGTCAAAAACGTCAAGCTTCAGAAAATATGAGCTTAAAATGGAGTAAGAAACAAGTAAGTAAATTACCCTATTGGTCAGGTCGTAGTCTTTTAAAAGACAGACAGCCACCATAGTTGCGGTTTCATTGCCCGCTTTCATGAATCTGATAAGTTTCTGTATGTGCCAAAATTCTGATGGCACCTCCGGAGATTCATCCTGCATGTATCTTTCTTCATCGTCGCTTTCTGACTCAGGTTCGTCATCCGAACTATCTTCCTCCTGTTTTTCACTGATGTAACGAACTCGAGGACCGAATGGTTGTCCAGTAACAGCTGATATCAGTGGCTTCGGCGATTCTTCCGGTTCGAGCACTTCCAGAATATCCGGCTCGAGTCTTTATTTACAGAAAAATTATGATTACATGTTCGTTGAAATATAGATAGGTAGATTTTTTAAATTAAGCAAATATCAATCAAATGCCTAATGGATTTACTTAATTATAAAGTATAACATATAATGGATTTATTTAATTATAGAATATCGTGATAGATATATAGATACACTTAAATAAGTTTTATACGGAGATTTTGAGATAAAAGATATTATAAAACAAATAATTCTGCAAAATGACACCTCTGCAATAAAATGTTGAAAGATAAATAGGAGCATTAATTATTGAAAACATCATATAAATTTATAAAATTGATTTCAGTATTTTTCAGTATTTCAATACCTTGTGAATTAAAAATGTGATTTACTATCAGGTTATCAAGTAAAGCATCCAGTAATTCTAAACTTACGCTGGTGGTGGCTCGATGGGTATTTTTTTGCCATTTTTCTTTCGTTTTGGTGGCATAATCTTCTATAATATCCTGATTAGCAAGAAATAATTAAAACACATATTGAATAAAATACCTTCTTTGTTTTGAACTCTTGTATTGAGAAATTTGTTAACCTCGACGTTAAACATGCAACTATTGATCAAACAATCGTTTATCGGACATAATCCACGCAGACGTTTATTCTATGAACGATATAAAATTAATTTTCTTTAATTATCTTTCTTATAAAATCGCTTTATATAAACAAAGCGCAATTTTCTTAGATGCTTATTCATATGTTTTCTGTATTTAATTTCTTCTACATAATTTCTACGATATATCTTATTATTTAGTATATATAATTAATATTATATTTGACGCGTATTCTTAATTTAATTATTCGACAACATTAATTAATCGTAACTTATTGCTTAACCTGACCTGAATAAATCGATCAATTGAACATATTTTTAACATAATTTTAATGTTTGCTTTTATATATGTATATTAAAAGAATGTGAATACAGAATGTGAGTAATATTGAAATTCACATGACAGATATATGACGTTAAAATTATTCAATGTAAAACATTCTGAACGTAGCAATACTTTGTTATATAATATTTATTTTTCATTTGTGACAGCTCTGTTTCGACTTTTCGCATTCAATGGATAACGACCAGGTTTAATCGCGTCAATTGAGATTTACAAATGACAAGGTGAATATATACGTAGACATTAATTGTCCGATATTCTAAATTCTATGTCGAAATTTAAAAAAATTGTAGTCCATTCGTTATTTAATGTCGAAACAAATATTTTCAGAGAAAATATTATCAAATAAAATAATGCATAGTTGATACGCGGAAAGAAGAATTTACGAGATATACCATTACACAATTAATTAAATCGATGAAAAAGTATGCGACGCGCGTAACCAAAATTTATGAGCAAATATTTTCTCACCATTAAATTGAAAGGTGAGCGTAATAAATAAAATTAAGAGAAAAATTCGCGTTTTTAATAATTTCAACAATTATAGTTTCAACTATGCAAATCCTGAAGAACGCAGTAATTAGTAACTAATAATTTTATATTTTTGAATTACACGTCCTTAAATTTACGTGTCCTTCCTTTTGAAGAATTTATTAATATGAGTTGCCTTAAATGTTACAGAATGCAGAACTTCATGGAAAACGTTGGAAGTAAAGAAAATCTAAGTGCGGTTTGTAAAATTGGTTAGAGAATCAAATGTTTCGTATACACATATATGCTACTCCGTTTTCAGTGGTGTTGTTTTTAATATCCTTGTCAATATGGCTTTGTATATGTCGCTGGGGATTTCGATATAATTTGAAAGACCGAGAAGTAATTATTTTATATTACTACTTAACATATAAGATTATAATGATACTAATTGTTTCTTTTTTTCTTTTTGTGCTTCTCACGGGCTTTATACTTTTTTAAATCAAATAAATGGATGGACACAAATTTATTGTACCTACCAACAACTTATACATTCAGATTTTATCCTGTTTAATTTCATATTTTATCATTATCACTATGTTGAATATGCTTTTCTTGGGTCACATGCAATTTTATTGCGAACGTCCACGTGTTAAGAATTAAGGATTATATTCTATAACAAGTAAGAATGATAACATTTGTAAATATATATTATTAATACGTTTTTTAATTGATTTGCTTTGAAGAGAAAATAAAAATGAAGAAATCGATTATATACATATACGTAAATTAGTGTAGTATAATATATTTTAGTAAAATTTATTGTAATCAATGTATATTTTTGAAAATATTTCTTTCAGTTTCATACGAAAATCATAAAAAAATTTTAGTGAAAGTATAATTGTAATGTGAAGGGTAAAACATTCAAATAAACCGCGCTTGAAGACTAAACATGATGTCGATTTATCGAAACAGTACATACGCATGTGCGGCGTAGGTTGTGTTTTTTTGCAGCAAGTAATCGTACTTCTACAAATATTTAACATCTTTTTCAATAATTGAATATATTTAATCAAAATTCAAGGTATTGTATAAATATTGTACTTAATTAATATGTAAATTGCTTTAAATGACAAATTTAAAGAATGATTTTCAAAACTTTTAATGCATTGCTAACCTATAAATTTTATTTTCATTTGATATCATGTTCTTGAAACAAAATGTAGGAAAAATTATATTAAAAAGAATATTCTAATAAATTTTATTTTCTTTTACTTATATTTATTTTGCTTTTATAATATCTATTTTATTCAGTTACGAAGTGTTTTTTAATTATGTGCAATAATATATTTTAAATTCATTATAAGAAAACTAATGGATGAAACATAATGAACGAATGAAATGTTAATAAAAAAAAACTGATTTTGAATATTTTTTTCAGATGGGTATGGCCAAGCATGCTCAATTTCTTGGTCGGACAATTATGGTTCAAAATAATAATTTAGAGAAAGCTAACCGTTTATTGAACAGTATACTGTCAAAAGAAGGTGTTTTTGAGCAATACAGACGTACTAGATACTATGAGAAACCTACCCAAACAAGAAGAAGGATTAATTATGAAAAGTGTAAAGCTATTTATTGTGAAGATATGACTAGAAAAATCCAGTTTATTTTAAGAAAAAATAGAGAAAATCCATTTCCTGGCAGTGAGTAAATTGCATCTTGAGAGTCATCTATAAGTTTGTATCCATACAATGTGGTGGTAAATATCTTTATTTCATCTGTATTCTGTACAAATTACTAAAAGGTATTAAATATAGTAAAAATATCAAGTATTGGGATTATATGCTTGGAATCATAAAGCACATAATTTTATAATAAAGAAATAAAATATTTGATCTTCCTCTTGTGACACGATTTTGGAAGTTTTCTGACCTGTCAATTTGAATTTTTTACAAATTCAATAATATTTAATTTGTTTTAATAGATTCTACTGTAGATTCTCATGGTAATATAATTAATATTTGATATACATCATAATAACATTAATATTTATGTTATATTCATACCACAAATGTGGTATATTTTTTTTATACTGTATACATATAATCATTGATAATATTTAATAGACAATTGTTTATTTCATTAAATATATTTGTTACTTTATTAAAAGTACTAGAGTACTAAAATTAGAGTATTAAAAGTACTAAAATTAGAGATGAACTTTTGCAGTTAAAAAACTAATTTACGTCGTATTATTGACTAACAATGAGTCAATGATCATATTTTAATTTTTGTCACTAGTAGTGCTGCGGTGTAAAACCTGCCTAAATCGGTATGGTAGGTTGTGACTCTAAAATGATAAGAGGGCGCTGATATTTGTCATAAAAAGTATTTTGGCTGTTACATCTATTTGTATGTAATCATTGACTAAGTCAATGATGTGCAAAATTGCGAGGTTTTGTATGATGGCGCAATTCTATAAACTACTTGAACCATCAGTTTCTTTGACATTTCATTGATAGGTGTCACTATTTTGCTTGTAAAATTTTTCAAATAATTTTTAATTTTTACTTTAAAATCAATTAGTATAATGAATGAACAACATGTTTAGAAAAGCAGAAAGAATTAAGTAATAATATTTAACAATTTATAAGTGAAACTTAGTTTTTTTATTTAGGATATACTTGCCGTGCATTTTACGTACAAAATATTATTATTCGTTATTTAATTTGAAAATAAACTCAGAAGAGCGTTAAGATTGTCTGCTATTTTATTTGTTACACATATTTTCTTCTAAAGCCAAAAATTCACATTTTTAAGTTAATTCACAATTTTTATTCATATGACGTACATATGAGAGATTATGAATTGTACTAAATTTTCAGTAGAATTTCTAGCCATCTATTACAGAAAATTCTATTAAATAAATTAAAATAATCTATAATTTTCAAAACAGAATTGTTTTCATTTTCTTAAAAGAATATTTAGACGAAGATAAAAAATAGGTTATTTTGTGATTTGAAATATCAGTCATTTTCATATTAAAATAGGAAGTACGTTTAGTTTTTTTCCTTGAGAAAAAATTTTCGTTAAAGTAGGATGCGAACGTTCTATATCCGCTTTTCCGCAAAAATATAGTCATGATAAAACTTCTGCCAAGTAGCGCAACATTTTTCCCAAGTAATTTTCGTTATCTTTACTTTGAAGAAACCTTAGTAGTTTAATCCAGTACTTATGAACTTTATGCGCTTAGTTTCAAAATTTAATACGACATATACATTGTTATCTCGTTTATTTGTTGGATCGTTTGTTGGATATTTATTTTACATTTTCCTTTTCTAAATATTTTGATAAAATATTCAGATACTCATTACATAATTAATTTCTGATGCGTAAAAATAATGTAACAATTTGCAAAGAATAAATTAAAATATCGTAGCAAAATATTTTTTATAGTATGAAAAATACATGGAGAAAAATGATTAAGAACCACTACTCATTTACGAATAATGATCTCCCTTTCGTCGACTGTTGACTGTCATTATCTTTCTTTTTCATTCCTCCTGGGAAAACTTGGCACCAGTATCTGTTCGTTTCTGCTATCTATTCAATTTTCGCCAAGTTGGTGAACTCATTGCCAAGAAAACCGACGAAACGTTTTATCTTTTATCCGGTTTTAGCGTGGAAAATAAAAAAACGGAGAGAATGAAGGCAGACTGCGTGAAAATAATAATTTACCTTGCTCTTTATTGGATTTTTTATTGGATGATAAGCGAGACAGAGTAAAAAAGCAAGATATGAAGCGGACGAACGTTTCGTCCCATGGGAAACAATGAATTTTTTTAGGAAATTTTTAAAAAGAAGTTTATGTAACAATTAGACAATTTTAGGGAAATGTTCGCTAGAATTGGAATGTAAGTTGTTTGGTCAGATATTCATTAAAAAATCTATAAGTCTTTTTATCTATTTAACAAGTACACAGCAAAAGTAGGGTGAAATCTCAGTAAAAGTTTTCTGATGAGAGAAAATTTTATTCTTGTTGCCAGTACCCTTAACTGCAGGATGTAAACTTCATACAGATCAAATATTTTTATGAACGTTCTATAATATATTTACAAATTTTTGTCTTTCTTATAATATAATTATAGGTATAGAATAGCAAAATTTGAAGCGCAAAAAAACAAATTTATTATTTATAGAAAATTTGAAGTCTATAAAAAGATAGGTAGATCTGTAAAATATTCGAAGTACTCTGTTACTTATAATACTCCATTTCCTCGGTGATATTTCCAGAGATATGAATTCGCATTAAGTTTTTTTTAAAGATCACTTTATGCCTATTTATCCTTGTGTTTTATCAAAAGTTGATCGAGTGCATGGTGCAAAAATGAAGAAATCGCAAGTGTGAAGAAGAATAAGAGAGGAACTGGAGAAGACGTGCAAATGGACCGATATAGAAAGGAAGGAAGAAATGAAATAGATAGTTTCCAATGAGAGAGAGAGAGAGAGAGAGAGAGAGAGAGAGAGAGAGAGAGAGAGAGAGAAATTCAGTTCCAGGCAAACTGTCTTGCCAGCAATCCGAAGATAATTTCGGATCCAGATTCGTCCGGAGTTAGGCCAAACCGCGTTTCCAACCAAAACGTTCTCCACTCTCATCGAAGTCGCTTTTCTACGTTGGCTTCGAAACGATCCTCTTTCGAATGCTGAGCATTGGATTTCTTGCGCAATCAAATCAATGAATACGATAGTTTCCCTCCTTTTTTTAATTGCGATGGTAAATTTTGTTCGATCACATAAAATTTTTCCAGCGATATTTGTTTCGATGATGGAAATGATTTGATCTTTCTAGTATAATGATATGAATCTACTTCTTAAATTTGAAGTTGAAATTTATTTGTCTTAGGTAACGGTTTATTAATTAATAATATTAGGAAATTGTAGTTAATAATATTAGAATTGTTTTTATAATTTTAAGTATACGAATGAATGTGAGTGAGTACGACGAGTGAAGATTTATTAATATTCTTTACCAGAGGCAAAAATTATTTATCTTCCAAAATTTGTGGAAGTCTGGTGAATAAATAATAAGTAAATTTCTACGAGTTGTGCGATAAACTGTTAGAAAGAAGAAAGAAGAAATGGTCGATCATTTTTCAATAATTTTTTGTGATTTGCTGATTGCATAAGAGTGTAATTTACACAATTTCAGTTTCAAAGTCTCTATATACGAATATCTAGTTCTCTTGTGCGATGAAAGCAGAATTTAAAGATGAGTATATTCACGGAATTAAGGAGAAATATTCGAAGATGAAGAAGATAAGTGCATGAATTATTTCAAAGTCAGGTTTAAACTTTGAATTCCAAATATCAACTTTGGTATTAAAGGCTGGCAAATGTATTTTCGAAAGAATTGAAATAATAGTTATTCAAATTCCTCCTAAAATATTCAGCAACCTTGAAAGCTTTCACTTGCCTTTCAAAAAACGAAATGCACCTTTTATACTTTATTTTATATGCTTTTTTTATTTTGAGTCCTTTTATCTTTTGTTGAATATTAATTCGGTATCTCATCTGTGAATTCAATGACGTTGGTTAAACACATAATGTCAGCCCTATATATTCGTGTCATGTATCGTTAATAATTCTATTTTATGTTGTGATATATCTGCAACATATCTCACACAACTGAGAAATTTTATTGCTTTGTTGAAGATAAACAGAATAACACGATGCAACACGTGCAAATCGATGGTTTATAGATTCTAACGCATTCTAATATAATATGCCAATTCAGAATGGCAGAACTTTTGAGTTTGTTTGAGATTTTTCAATTTTTTATCGTGGGGCTTTTCATTGTTCGCTAAAATATATAAAAAACAATGAATAAGAAAAAATGAGAGAAAATTCAGTTTACGTATTATTTAAAATACATAGAATCTGCATATTCTACTTTAGACGTAAAATCTTCGATATTAAGCACATCATGCTCAAACTTACGAGAGAAAATTAATCCAAAACGATAATTACGTAACAAATAATGCCTTAATTATTAATCAATGTACTGAAACCCTTAGAAAATCATAATGTCGATCGACGCTTGCATAGATAAAAATCTACGTGGCGGATATGATTTGTCCGCCTGAGCTTCGTTTGAGCAAAGTGCCCAATGAAAATGCTCAGGAGCAAGAAGGAGCGGTAGGAAGACCGAGCGACAAGTTTCCAAATGAAACGGCAATCTTACAACTTTTAGAGCGGTTCATTGTGAAACGATTACTCTGGTCTGTCTGCTCATGAATACCAGTCGTTAAGTGTACGTGAGAAAAGCGTGTGGAAGCTGAAAATTACCTCGAAGCGCACGGCTAGTGTGACGAGGCGCGCCTTTAAATATGCCAATTTGGCGGAGAACTTCGTCCATGATTGAATACCGGCGAATCGCGGGCGTATATCCTGCAAGCTGCAGGCGAGCTGCACGAATAATGGGATCGTACTTTGAGCAACGACTTTTGTTTTCTAACTTGTTGCAACTATTTATTTCGCGCAAAGCGAATTGGAATTGAAAGCTAGGGGGAAAAAATCTGATTTCTTTCATTGGCGAGTTTTCCAGTAATGCAGCGTAGACGAGGAATTTGGTAGAATTGGAAGTGAAAGATGAAATAAATTTGTTTTATTCAACTCGTCGAGTATCAAAATAATACAATGTGTAGTATATTGAAAGTTGGACTTTTGGATAAGAGAAATTTATTGGAGTTTGGGTAGGATTCTTTTTTGATGAATCTTTGAAGAAGAATTAAAGTTGAAAAACGAGATAAGGCTTATTTCTTTCAT